AATCAAAAGACGAAAATGTTATCTAATTTTGGATTGTTAAGCGTAAACTTTCTAAACAAATGGTAGATTAAAAACTCAAAAGTTTAAAATACAAAATATGTTTTTGGAAATTTGAATCTTGAATATTTAAGGTAAAAATCTTAAAACTCAAAATGATAAACCTGTTTGGAAAATTGAAATTTTAGATTTTTGTAATTTAGAAATTTGAACTAATGTATTAACATTCTAAAACTCTAAATAATTTTAGAAATTTGAAATGTTAAGTGTTCGGACCCCTGTGGTTGTACACCAAGAAACATCTGTAATGTCCATGGTTTCACACAGAAAATGATTTTTTTCATCAGAGAAAACTGAAGAATTTTCTGAATTGCAGGGAGTTTTTTTTAATGCAAACGAATGTACCGATCAATAGAGCTACAACCGCGGTCTAGTTTAGCGAATTAACATGATTATAGATGCACACATCTACACGTTCCTCACTATGTTACGAATGTACCGATCGATATAGCTGTAACCGCGGTCTAGTTAAGCGAATTAACATGATTATAGATGCACACATGTTTCTTACTATGTTCACTGAAAAACGACTAGAAATAACAAAAATCTTTTGATAAATTACATAGTTTAAAGAAATAAAAAATTACAACATTTTGTTTACGCATCTTAAGATGTGCTATTTTTAGAACTTGGAAAAACCCAAGTATGTATTTTACTTTGAAAAGAATGTTTATGCAGCAATTTGTCTAACAAAACAACCGTATCATGGTTTTCTATCAATTTAACATTTGTTCTTTCCTCTGTTAAGTTATTTTCCTCTGCTCTGATGACATGTATAATGCCAAATTGAATGTCTATCAAGCCGTGTTGACAAAAAGCCATGCTTGTTTACGAAGGTCGATAACTCTTAAGACATAAACAGTTACAACATCGGCGATCATCGGAAAATGCCGTCATTTTTACCGGAAGTGCCCTGTTATACAATCCATGGTACATAATGATATTACCTGAAGCCATTTCTTGTCAAGTGGTAAGGTTTATGATTTCTTGAACAGAAAAATGGTTTCTTGTACACGTACGTAGTCTTCCCACAATGCTACCAGGCCTCTCCCGTCAATTTTTACCCAGTGGTATTGATCGCTTCGCAACTTCCTGACTCATTCGTACAAAAGGCTGAAAAGTAGTCTCGTTTTCCCCAGACTCTCGCTCTCGAGACTTGGCCCGAGCGAGAGTCTGGTCTGATTCCTATTTAATTTTTGTAACCAGTAGAGGTCGCTTTATCAAGATGGCGACTCCCATGAAAATTCACGAACGAATTTTCTTTTTAAACAAAGATGTGTGCGTGTTTTGCAGTTTAAAAAACAGACAGAGGTATTATATAATTAAAGTAGATAAAAGTAAAGGCGCAGCCTTTGAATTGACAGTGAACTTTTTAAAGAAAGACCTCAGCATCGAGGAGAATTTAGGAACCTACGCCTGTATATCTTGCTACAAAATGTTGCAAAGAATAAATGATATTGACAGTAGGCGCACCCAGTTACACGATAAGCTTATGTCAAGCTGTCAAAAGTTCAGAGTCATTAGTGTGAAAAAGCGCAATATTCATGGAAATCAAACCCCTACAATGTCAAAGTTTCAGGATCAGAAATCCACACCGGTGTCATCACTGACTTCAGCGTCACATGGTCTCGACTTGCCATCTGGAAGCAAAGGTAGAGTAAATATATCCTGTTTAGTGAATGTATCATGTACTTCGTTCTTAAATATTTGGATATGATGTACCATTAATAAATAATAACAAGGTCAAGTACATTTAGCTATATATCTTAAAAGTATCACTGCATCAAAGTGCAGTAATAGCCAGTACTATTATGCACATCCAGCAAAAAATGCTAATTTACAAAATAGTTTAAATTAGTAGCTATAAAAGTTAATTCAGGTAGGTTAATAAAGCTATGTAGGTAATTAAAGCTAAGTAACTAAATCTAGTATATTTACTAGTCTTGATAACTATAAATGACCCCCTCCACACAATAAAAGATGTTTTTTTTTTCAGGTTCTCTTAAAAAAATATCCAAACCACCGACACCAAGTACGAGTAAGTTATTAACAAGGTCTTTGTTTCCATGTCCTTCTACAAAAGACACAGATAGTCTTGCTGTGCCTCTGTCACCTCTCAGATGCAAAAAACAAGAACTAAAGACTGTGCAGATTTCAAAACTGAAACACACTGTATCATTTCGTTCTGCTCAACTTGTTGAGCAACTTCTTCTTGTCACAACAGCCTTAGCCAATGGTAGTATCAGAAAAGCATTAACATTACTCTTGAATTCGTCTAATGCTACAGTCAAAGAAAAAGTAAAAAGAGAGATTCAAAATGTGATAAATAAAGAGTGTTCTACCCTTTCCAAACGTGATCTACAACTGCAGAAGACAGATACTAGTGATTTGGAAAGCTTTGACTTGAAAAAAATTCAGGAAGACTTCGAAATCCATGCACCTTTCTTATGGTCTTTTGCCTCGCAGGCAAAGTACACCAAAACATATGATTGTGTAAAAGTTACTTCAGCTTTGTGCGTTCTATTGCAGGGGAGATCAAGAGTTCTCAATTCCCTTCAACATTCTGTTGCCATAGCCATGTATAATAATCAGCTACAAAAAGATGGATTCTCGGTGTTAGCGAGATTGGGATTCTCCGTTTCACATGCGACAATGAATGCAAAGTTAAACATTGCTAAAGCACAGAATGAGAATCTCATGAAGACATATCAGAGCAGTTTGAAAGACTTTATAGCAAGTAATAGATCCAGCTGTGTTGAAGTGATTGAAGCCGAGCACACATATGCTACTGTTGGTGTTGAAAAGAAACTTATGGGTAGAATAAAGGAACATTCGTATGCAGTGTATAATGCAGAACCTGAAAGAAACAATGCACCTCTAGGTTACAGATTTAATCTTGATAATTTAGATTTTCATATCCGAGTTCGAGAAATGACACAAGAACATCAGAACATTTCTAGGCATTTCACACAAATTATGGCCTTGGTTGATCGTGTTAATTGTGAACATTTGTCAGATGAACCTGTTGGAGATTTGTTGAATGTTCAAAACAGTGAATTTCTCCCAACTGTTGAAGACAACTACACTTTGAGAAAAGATATGATACAGGTTGTATCCAACATTCTTGTGGAAAATCTACCATCCTTTGAAGTATTTAAGAACATATACCCAACACACTTCTTGCACATTTACTCTACAGAAATGGCAAAGAAATCAACTGTGGTATATTTCCATATCCGTGTTTTTGTTGAAAGTTCAGTTACTTGATTATTTTAAGATCTGAATTTATTTGGATGTTGCTCAGGTAAATAGTTTAAGTACAGTAAAATGCTGTATAAGTGGAAATTTTAGCGAGACGCATACTTAGCGATTTCTACCTAAAATCTAATGTTTTATTTTTAGCGAGCAGTAATTTTAGCGATATCTAAAATACGAACTAAAGAAGCTATTACAAATAATACGGAGTTAATTTTTTGCGATATTCTATTTAGCGATGTCAGCACCCTTGCTAATAATGCCAAAATTAAATCCTTGCTATAAATTCTACTTATATTGTATTTGTATAGCAAACAATTGGTTAAAGCAAATGAATTCTTATAACAATATCATTTGTTTTAATTATAACAATTAATATCAACAGGATAAATTAATAAAATATCCATATAAAAATTTATCTTAGCTATACCTAGAAGTTTGTTACAGCTTTGTGTTACTGTACATTGCTGTTGGAACTTTTTAATAGGGCATATTTATGTTATATAAGTAAAATTATTTATTAAAAGGCAGCTCAAACTTGTACCACCATTCATAATCAAAAGCAAACTATCTGACAATCTATTTGATTTGAAATGAAAATTACCCGGTATGATTTTCACCTGATTAATGGTTTTGAAAATGCAATACTAGTGTATTATTTATCAGGGGATGTGATGGTAAGGGAGGATATTAACATTAAGTATGCAGAGAAAGTTCTTTTTTAAACAAGTATTGGTAACAATTTTCAGTTTCTGTCTTGCTGGTCATTTCAATTTCTTCATATTCATTGTTGTTCAGAAGTGTTATAAGTTATTCCTTTTTCACTTTGAAAGCTTATTACTAACATTATAAACTAAAATGCTGCATGTGCATATTAGTGTAAAAAAAAAAAAAATGAACAAAATATGCAGCATTTCAGTGTATGTTATTGTTGAAATATTTCTTGTTACAGTTTGTTTCTTTTTTTTTTTTATGTAGAATGAGCAGTATTTTAGGGGGATTGCTGCTCTTGCATTCATTTAGTAACAAACAGTTGGTAAGCATTCACACAGACCAGTTGTTTTATGTGAAATACATGTACTATAAATGTAATGCACATGTAAAATTATGAAAGTAAACATTTCCACCTTTTTTTTCAAATTACAGATGAATTTAATTTTTTTTCTTTACAAACTCATTGCAACATGATGTGAAGGATAACTTTTTTCCTTGTTATATCACTTATTTATAACAAAAAATATGAATTTTTTAGATACCACTGGGCATTTTGCTTAAAAATGAAAACAAAACAAATGACATGATAGAGATCCTGGAACACTTGCATCAGTTTGTCCCTGGGGCAAGGACAGATGTGGATGAAATTCATGAAAGGTTATTTATTTTATTTATGATTAATAATTTGAATAAGAATCCATGAGCACACAATCATTAGTTCTAAATTATGAATGATGATTAATTTGTTTTCAGAGAGGAAAGAAATATCCAAATGCGAGCCATTCCAGTTGGAGGTGACCAACTTACATGCGAGAGGATACGTGGTGCACATATGGCCCGTCTGGATGCTGATAGCCAAGAGGAAAGACTGGAGGGACTAATTACGATGGTTGAAGACTTCCATGAGAAGATAAACTTCCTACAGGTAATGCAATAAAATTCTAACAGTTCATTAGTAGGGATGTAAAGATATACCTTTACATATCATGATGCACACAAATTTGGTCAGTTACTGACAGCAATTTTGAATACAAATTTCTTAAATACAGTTTGAAAATTAAACTTTACATCTTTTAATTGCTTTACAAAATGTAATATATATATTTGAATTTTGGAAAATAGAATAAAATAATTTATTTCAATACATCTAGGTTTCAGGGATGACCATGTGTTTGTCATTCTTGCATTTGTTTCAAACAGTTATGACTTTTGAATGGTTACTGTTTAATACAGCTTTTACGACTCTTCACAATTAATTACAACTTCTCTATTTATGCAAATTTTTATTACTTGTTTTTAGGAAAATGAAGATTTCATTTTTAAGATGGCAAAGTCTTTTTTTCATTTTATTGGGATAGTTTTATTATATTGTAGGCAATGATGGATAGGTTCTATAAAGCAGCCAGTGCAAGAGAAATGGGGACACTGTACCAACTCAGAAACATTATTAACAGAAGAAATGTTGTAAAAAATGCAAGTGCTGATTACCATGCGGTTGGTTCTTTTATTGATTTGGTTACAGATGCACACATTATCACAGCAGCTTTGAAAGCATTTGGTATGACAAATATTGAGGACCCTTGCCCAAAAATTCCTCATTTCATGGATCTTGCTGATGAAAATGCAAAAAAGAGAGTTTTGGATAAGATAGTTGGGGAAATGGTGGACACCTTTTTCTTGAACAGCTTTGCATTAACTGTAAATAGAATGGAAGGTAATGCAAATGAAATGGGGGGTCCAATTACAGATGATGGGGTATTCAATTATGCCACAAATGTTACAAAATATGGACTTCTTAGAAAAATTTCTGTTCTGGCCACCAGAAGTGGAGATGGTATTCGACTAATAAGGCACTGGAAATATGCCCTGTTAGTATATGACCTATCACACAAGATTAAGTACAGACTTGAATCTTTCCTACTTTTGGCTGGTGTGAATGCAGTTTTCACAGAAAAGCAGAGACATCAGATTATCTGGAACCGGTTTGTAAATTTGTCTGGAGGAAAAGATAAAAATCTTGATGGGGATTATGTCATGGAGTTGCTTAACAAGTATGCAAAAGGACGTGTAAAATTATTGGGTCCTAATCAAACACCAGAAGTTGTAGACAGGATCGGGAAGACAATGATGTTTTGCCATAATGTGAATGAAAAACTGGAAAGAGAAATTGGAGTTCATCAAGGAGGCACTGCTCATGCACAAAGAGACAAAACACTTGATTTGAGAGCTGTTGTAAACCAGTTAAAAAATGCTGATGTATTTTCCGTCATAAGAGGTAGGCGACATGACTCATTTAATGAACAATTTGATATGTTCCATGAAGTTAATTCACAGGTTCTTCATAAGTGGTTGAATGATAAGAAACAGGAGTATTCAAATGGAAAGTATGCATTTTAAGTGACTGTCTTATGAAATGTATGTGTCATTTTACTTTTGTGAAATATTTTGTTTTGATACTCAAATGTTTTCCATACCATATGCATTTCTTTTGATGTTAATGGTGCAGTTTAATTTCTAAAGATGATATGTTTCAAAAGTCTTAAACCATTTAATAAATTTGATTACACATTTTGCCATTTTTCAAACTCCTTTTGATGTATCAAGTTACTCTGTAAAGACATTTTCTTATATTAATTTTGTGCTTAGGCCATATAAAATTAATCTTTAGATTCTCATCCCCGCCCGCCCCTCTCAAAATGTTCCGCCCCGATGTTTTTTATTTTTATTTTTGGGTATTTTAATGTATTTTTATTAAGTAAGAATTTGGGTCAAAGTTTAAGAGTTATCTCCCGTCTGTATTAAAAGTCGCGTGTCGCTATTTATAGCAAAAACGCCATGTGAAGAATGGAGAAAAATCGGCAATAAAAGCAGTTTAAATGTGTAAGGAAAAGATAATTTGTCAGTATAGAGAAGGCAGAGAAGAAAAACTAGCATAAACACATATAGATACCATCACTGGCAGGAGTAAGTATGTAGAGAGATTGTATTGTAACTAAGTAAAAATAGACGAGGAAAGTCAAGTTATATATAACGATCTCCAGCTGTGTGACTTAGCTTTGAAATAAAAAAAAATCTACAACATCGTAGACAGACTTTAAGAGAAGGCCTAGATTTTTCAGTAGAATATTTATTAGAACATTTATATAGATTTTGCAAAATAAGAAGTCACGCATACACAGTTTATTGGTATCCCCACCTCATTTTGTTAATTCAGGGTGTGTCGTATAATGTGTACTTGATAATTTGTTAATTAACAATAAATATTTAACTTAAAAAGAAAAAATTCTTTAAATATTTAAAAGAATATGAAAAGAATTAAATCTATTCATATTTGCATTAAGGTAATGAAAAAAATGTGTACGGGGCGTCCATTGTTTTGTTGATACTTAGGCCTATATATAAATTAACAATTATAAAAAATAAAAAATAAAATCCGCCCACCCGCCCCAATTTTTTGGCAAATTAGGATGAGAATCTAAAGATTAATTTTACCTGGCCTTATCTGTGAATTAATAAATGTGATAAACACTTTTGAATGGGGTTGAATAGTTTTTCAGTTTATAAACAGAAAACTGGTAGCTGCAAGAATGAAGCCCTGTCCAATTTTTAAATCTATATCTAATCTTTTCAGAAAATTCAAAAAAAAAAAAAATAAAAAAAAAATTGGAGAGCTAAATTATTGCAACTAAAAAGAAGAGCTCAACATATCAGTGATAAACTTAGAGTGTAAATAATCAAGGTTGTATATACTGTATTCAGGGAAATTTTTGGCCCATTTTTATTTTCCCCCTTCCCTTATTTGAGCCAATTTAAAACAGAGCGAATTCAAAGAATGCAGTATAATTTCTTAAACAGTACTATGACTGAAAAAATTTAAAACAGGACAAACTTGTTTGCGAGTGTGAAAGGGGGATAATAACAAGGGACGAAAATAACCCTGTATACAGTATTTATATTTGCTTCAAATTAATTAAATATTCAGAGCTCTCAAAGAATTCAAAGATAATAAATCAGTGTGATGCTTTCATCATATTATTAAATATGTAAGCACATCTCATTTGCATCAGATGTATAAAAATGTGCAATGCAATAATGTAAACACTTCTCAATGCCTTCTTTATTTGTAAGGAAAACAAGTGTGAAATGTAAATATAATAATTTAATATAATACAGCACTGAAATTAACAAACAAGCATAAATTTGGGAATGGTGCAAACCTAAAAAAAACTGTTTATCTAGGCACTGCATGTCACATTTTAAAAAAAAATAATTGAATGAACAATGAGTTACATATAAATACCTGAATATACAGAGAAACAGGGATGTTAAATTTTGGTGAACTCTATTTACAGGTGCAATTTATCACCATTTAAAACATGGTATCATTAACAGACTGCATATAAAAGTGTAAGATTATCTGAATGTATTACTTCTACATCATGGAGCTACTAAAATTGAAACTGAGGCACATAAATCGATCAATCATCATGATCATCAAGTACTTCATCAATAATGCACATCACTGAACTTGCAAGATTTTTGTCAAATATGTACTCAGACAATAAATCCTCTATACTACCTATATAGTGAACATTGCTTACAACTGAATCAATCAATGAATCACTTAATCCAGTTAAGATACCAACATTTAGTAAAGATGGACCACTGTCCTCTAGACATATTTCTCTATACTCCTTAAGTTTTTCAGATATTTTGTTGCGCTGTCCTTCTGACACCGTATGGCACATCACTAATTCGCAATTTAAGGTAGCAGCATGCAAAGCAGCATTTTCTTCAAAGTCTGACAAAAGAGAGTCATGTAAAGGTGGACAATTTAAACATTCACATGTTTTACAGCAATTATCACAGCACAAATGTTTTGGAGTTACTGGTAAAGATTTATTGACATCAGGTGTGAAGAATTCTTGCAAAAGCACTCTTCTGCAGGTTTCAGCCATTGCATATGACCTCATTTTGTCATCCGTTGCTGTTTTGCCAATGTCCATTCCATGATAGTACAAGACTGACATTGCACTTCTACCATCTCTGCCACACCTCCCGAATTCTTGCATGAATTCCTCAATAGATCTTGGTGCTCCCCAGTTTAATACCATATCTATATCAGGAACATTTACTCCTAGGCCAAAAGCAGAGGTACAAATGACCACCCTTATCTTGCTATCAACTTTTGGAAATTCATCCATGACAATAGTTTTGCACTTATTTGATGTTGAATGGTGATACATAGCAACTAATCTATTCTTAGCACAATGAACACCACAGTATGCATTGTCTCCCAGAACATCTGTAAAGAGTTTGAACAGCACTGAACACGCTTTAATGCTGCGACAATAAATAACCGTCTTGGGACATTGCTGCTTATGATTCCTTAGGTTTTCCATCAACCACGTCAACGCAGGTTTCCCATCACGAGGTGCTTTAACACTATTAAGAATAATGTTTTTCCTGTCACAATTGCCAACAACAACATTTCCTCTCTCCATACAAAGTTTCTTCATAATTGAAGTCCTGGAGATTGGTGAAGCAGTTGCTGTCAATGCCAACATGTTAGAGTTTGGTAGAATACTTCTTAGCTCTGCTAATCTTCCATAATCCGTTCGAAATTCATCTCCCCTGTAATTATGGAGTACATTTATAAAACATTTATACCAGGATCAAGATGAATCAGGGAAAATTTGAGAAAAAAAAATTATTTCACAATAGTTAAGATATGAACTGTAAGAGAAAAGTTTCAGTTTTTAGCTTACATGTGCTAAATAGCCTGCATCTTGTCTTAGCTATATGTAGTCTATTGATATTGTGTTTTAGTAAGTGTGTATTTTTGGGGGGGGGGTATTTTACATGGCCACTTTAAACTTTTAAATAACAATACAACTGTACTGTGTATCCCTTTAAAAAAATGTTATTTAATTTGTTGAAAAACATTCCTATGAACTAATATGTAATTATGTTCACTTTATAACATTATAGTTATCTAAATTTCTAATTTAATTACAAGCATTTCATTATCTTATATAATAATATGCAACTTTAGTTACTTTACGTACCATTGTTCCACACAATGTGCTTCATCCACAACAATAGCTGCTACTCTTGATTGATATATTTCAGTAGAAAACAACTGCCTCCATTCTCCATGAAAAAGAGACTCTGGGCTCATCATGATGATAGGAACTGATCCACTTGCAAGGTCTTTTTGGGTTTCTGAAATATCAATTATAATATCTATTACTGAAAAAAAACACATACAATCAATACACCTTGCTTCAAACAAAATGTATGATGAAATGTTGGATTTGCACATGTTTTACGAGTCTTAAGATACATAAATACCACAACATGTATGTATATATTAATATATAAAAGTTATATATATCATTATATAAGTTTTCAAAAATCGAATGCTTTATCTTTGCTGTGTTACTGGTTTAACTCCTTAGAATACATATAATCATATATAGCCTTGCACTTGCAATTTTTGGTAAATTTTCATAAAAAACAAAATTTGACATAGCTGTACACAGGGGATGACAAATCCCATTGCCCGACGCCCGGGGCTAGTGAAATTTAGGGTTGGGCAAGTGAAATTTTATCAACCACTTGCCCGTGGGCAAGTGACTTAATCAATTATCAAAAATAAAATCAATATCTATGCCAATATTCTACTCACTATTTTTTATATATATATTTATAAATACAGTATAAGTTAATGGTAGGGCAGGCAAAAATTCAGGTAGGGTAAGTGAATTTAGACCATGTACTTGCCCTTGGGCAAGTGCCTTAAAAATCTATTTGTCAGCCCCTGTGTACATGAAGCTTCTATGAGTTTAAATGAAGCTACGATGGGTGGTTCAAGCTATGTACTAGACGTATTAATGCTGAGTTATTGCATATATATGACCATTTAATTACACAATAAATAACAAGCCTTCATATATTTACAATAACCTAATAATTTGCTTGGAAATATTCATGTACATATATAAATGTTCATCACATGGTACATGTATGACATTTTTAACCCACCTGGTGTTTGTACTTTGCTTGCGTACACACAACGAATCCCACTATCTGCAATATTAACAACCTGATCCTCCATCAGGGCCACTAATGGTGACACGACGACGACGATGGTCCCTGAAACACCTTTGTATTCACAGGGGCTTGTCACGAAATATTTATCTTCTTTTAATAAAGTTACCCCTACTATAAAAATACATTATAGTAGGGGTAACTTTATTAAAAGAAGATAAATATTTCGTGACAAGCCCCTGTGTTGTATTGGGTGTTGCTAAAACGCGGAACGGAAAACGGAACGGAACGGAAAACGGAAAATATTTCTCAAGCAAATAACAAAGATTCGATATAAATCAGATTAAGAACAATCTTCTTGTTGTAAAAGTCACTTCTAATAAAAATTTATTGTAAACTATTATATATTTATGAGTCATACACACATACAAAATGCTACTGAAATTCGACCCCCCCCCCCCACTTACACACACAAACCATCGGCGTCGGAAGAAAATTCAAAGTGGGGGGGGGGGCTAAGTGTGACAAAAAATATACCTTCAAAAAAATCCTTGCAAGCAAAAAAAATCCTATTTTCTAGGGGGGGGGGGGGGGAGTTTGAACTTCAATACCATTTTTTTTTTTCCAAATACAACCACTTTCACCATTCTTAACCTATACTGCAGTGTGTCTGTGGAAAGTGTGGGGGGGGGCTAAACCTACGAAACAATGTTCAATGGCTATACTAAGTATATGTTTGGAAAAAGAGGGGGCTAAGACACCCCCTCCCCCGGTTTCGAGGCCTATGCAAACACACACACAAAATTGGATTTTCGGACATTTCCTCCATTTTTGCTCGTCAAATTTGTTGTATGTTTGTATTTTTTTCTGACCCCCACCCCCTCTTTCAATTTGTTTCCAATGTCAATGTCTGTAAAGACAAAAATAACTAGTTATGATATTCAGATTATGCACGCAGTGTCGAATTCTCGAATGATGAAAGAGGGAGTGGCAGTTTCGGGTCTGTGTAGGGACCCACAGCCACATTAAAAATTGATTTATTAAATCTTATGTTTATTTTGGAGTCAAAAAAGAGGGGGGGGGGGGGGGGTCAGACCTATCACAGCTTATAAGACTTTTCTGATGAGTGGGAATATTTACGGGGTCATTCATAAACAACTCCCCCCCCCCCCCCCCCCCGCACAACATACAAACATATGTACCTCAAACCAAAAAAAACAAACAAAATTTAAGTTTAAATTGAAAGATTCTGCATTATATCTTCCACATGAAAGATTTCCTACTTTGTCTATCCAGAAAACGACTCTATTTTGAATAAAATTTAACAACCAGTGAGTATGAGAGATGTTTATTCGAGCTTGCCGTTAAGATTTGTACTAAACGTGATCTTAATATTTCTTTTACATTTTATTTCTCTTTCCGTGGTTCAATAAGATATCAAATATTGCCCCCCCCCCCAGTCATAACCTTTTTACTACGGAAATGTTCATTCAAGTTCACATCCTCACTTTTTGTGAATGTAATTAATTTAGTAAGTTAGTGTAAAAAAATAGTACTGAAAGATGTTGAAGTTGAAACTTATCCCCCCGCCTGAATCAAACAATTGTTTTCTTTTTGTGTTTTATGCCCCTCCTGCATGAATCAAACAATTGTCTTCTTTTTGTGTTTTTGCTTGTCAAATACTTTTCAAGTTCGTTTACCCCCCTCCCCCTTTTCAAATTCGATTCTAGGTGACTGCTATGCTAGCGATTTTCGTACATAAGAGATGAGCATGACAAATTCAACTTTTATTTAATAGTGGGGGATTGAATGTGTACAAGATATATCGTTTATGATAAAATTTGTACATTTTAAATGATTTAATCCAAAATAATATATTCCGTTTTCCGTTCCGTTCCGTTTTCCGTTCCGCGTTTTAGCAACACCCCTTTGTATTCGTCTACAAGTGTAGGTATAAGAGAATATATTATGGTCTTCCCGTACCCTGTTGGTAATACGCCTAGTACGTCTTTGTTGTACACAATTATGTCTTTAAGTATAACTAATTGAAGTTCTTTTAGTTGAAAATTTAATTTTCTCCTTTCCATACACACTTCAGACTAGTCTAAAGCTGTACCAAACTTCTCTTCCGCCATTTTTTTTGTGTTGTTTATATCAGCCAATGAAAAACCATACCGATTTCTCGGTAAGCCTCGACTTGAAATCACAAAAATTAAATAGGAATCAGTCTCAGACCAGACTCTCGCTCGGGCCAAGTCTCGAGAGCGAGAGTCTGGGGAAAACGAGACTAAGCCAGAGCCAATGTCAGAGCTACTCTGAACTCATCGGGTTTTATAATATGCAGAACACCGACAAATAAAAGGTTCCGAACACATTAGTAGGGGTGTATATGGCAAATACCCCTTCCTGAAAACAAACTAGTTTGATCCAAGGTATACACCGAAAGGAGATGGGTGAACTTAGCGTGCAGAAAGCCCACTAGCTTCAGACATATAAAAATCATATTCAAGTGAATTTAGTATTTAGAGTAAAGTTCTTATCATTGATTTTAATGAAATCATGATAATCAAAAAGTTTTGAGAATTTTTTTAAATTAAAATTTATTGCGTGGACCCTGAGGTCCACGCAGTAAATATATAAGCGAGGTTAAATCGGATGCCATGGGCAAACGACAGGCTACGCAGGCGCGAGAATGCTAGAGAGTTCGCACCTTAGGTAACTTGCCCGTAAAATAATTCGCCCTATTCAAATTAGAACGTTATTCATTGGAAAATCGCGCTTTTAAACCCACATTTTGCATTTACATATTCATTGGTGGATCCAAATTTCTCTCTTATATATATACTTTTATATACAAACTAAACAGTGATTCTACGGTAGAAGCATTTTAAAAGGTGGGAACAACTTGCAGTTTACTGTACAGATACACGTAACTTAACATCTTGAATGCAACGACTAGTTCTAGCTTTTAAAAGATAGAACAAGTTTTCACCGGCATTAGTTTTGTGCATCAAGGTTCGTAAAATAATTTGATATTTCAGCAATCCAAATACCGTTTGATAGAGGTCTGTGGCAACGGTTTTTAATGTAGGGGGGGGGGGGGGGGCAAAAAAATCTGCGTTCTACAGAACTGTGCTACACGTGAACCATCAGATCTCTATTTTTCCCATGATAGATTTCTTCCGTATAAATCCAGAACATGTGTCATTCCCAACCATTATGAGTTACATGTATCGAAATAGCCCGATTTTTTAAACTGACAAAACTAAAGGCCGCTAATCGGAGACAAAATTTAACAATTTTGCTTTGAGACTACAACCAGTCATAAGTAGGCAGATCATTGTAGAAAATGTGAACAAACCTACATGAATATTCACTGCACCTAGAAATTTTCTAACTTGAATTTCGGTTAGAAAAACATGCATATGGTCCACGTATTGCAGTCCTTTTTTAAAGGACAGCAACTTGTTCTTTTATATAAAAAAAATAATGTAGTAACCATTGGGTTCGATCCCTGGCAATAAAAATCCTGAGGTGCATTCTCTAGTTAGAGTAGCACGATAACCACTACGCTACACAAGTCCTGATGAAGTGTGGCATTTAAATCATGTTTGTGATATGACCATTGACTTAAGGGACTTCAAGTATTTCTTGAAAAGATACAAAAGTTATGTCATAAAATTATATTTTTAAGGTATAGTGGGTCTTTGCTCCATAATTTTGGAAACCGAAATATTTATGTGTGTATGCAGACTTTGAGGATTAACTCTCAAAAAAGTGGAGAGACCCACTCATATCGAAAAAAAGTGTTATAGTGTGAAAAAATGACTCGTTTTGTCCTCTTCCGTGTGTGTATAGTATATCACAGGCAAATAACTTCAATCTTCATGAGATTTGTGCAAGTTGTAGAGATTTTACACAAAGTATTCTTTAATGTTAGATGAACTATTAAGGAAAACTTTGATATAATTAAGATTTAATTTTTCACCTTCATGACATTTGAAATGCCAAGGTAAGGTCTTACATATTTTCAATAAAATAAATTAAGATTTCCCCTACGATTTTTAAAGTTCATAGGTTCAACATCAGTTTACCGAATTAATAGAACGTGGTGGAATTTAAAGGCGCAAATTTTCACTGTCATAATTTAAAAATTTTCAAAATAAAATAATGTCATGGTTAAGTCGGAATTATGCTACGGATTTTGGCTTATATGATTGCTCTGTTATTTCTCAAGATGGATAGCCATGTCCATATGGCATATGGACATGATGGATATTTCTCATGCATGTCCTCCGTTATCTCATGTTTTGTTAATCTTTGACTGTATTTTGTCTTCTCAGAAGTAGTTTTTTTTATTATTCATTGTTTCATTATAGACGTGAGGATTCGGACAAGAGAAAGAGGAAAAAGTCTGAGAGCAGCTCAAGTAGTTCCTCAGATTCCTCAGATTCAGATAGTGACTCGAGCTCCTCCTCCAGTAGCAGCTCCTCAGAGGATAGAGAGGACAAAGATCAACAAAGAAGGTCAAGGTCAGGAGAGGAAAAAAGAAGGCATTCATCCCACTCTGATGATAACAGGTCAGATTCTTCGTCTCGTAAACAAAGAGGCAGGCATATTGAAGTAGTGAAAAGAAGTAGAAGTCCACGAGATGAGAGGTCTAGATCACATTCCAGTTCTAGATTGTCCAGGCGATCCAAGTCTCCTTCTGTAAGAGGAAGACCATCTCCTGCAGGGTCAAGGTCAAGCTCCAGAAGTGGCCAGAAAGTATCATCACGGCATTCTTCATCTCAACGTTCCATTTCTTCACCTTCATCCAGACGTGAAAAGGATCATTTGCAATCCCTTAGCCAAGTTTCAGATGAAGTAAGAAGATCATCTTCTAGGAGTTCACAGATTGACAGAAGAGATACAGAAAAGCAGACCAGATCTCCCACCACTAGCCCTCCACCTCAAAAACATGACGGCGAGGAAAATCAGAAAAAGACACCACCATCAAGCCCTCACAGAGAAGGTGAAGATCGAGAGGGGCGATCTCCGGACTCTAGTCCTCCTCAGAGAAGTGAGAAAATTAGACCTATAGATGCATCACCAGAGGTACCTCCATCTGATAAAAAATCTCGAAGACATTCTTCTAACTCTTCCTCTCCGAGTCACACTCCTCCGCGCGACGACAGATATGACATGTCTAAATACGAAGAAGAAAGCGGGGCATCAGAGTCGGAGGATGAGAAAAAGGGTCGTAAAAAGAAACACGACATGCGGAACTTTGAGAGTGAGCCTGAGAGTGGAGAATGCACAGATTCTGAAGATGAAAGGAGACTCAAAAGTTCAATTAAGGTTTGTATCGATAAATAGTCACCAGCAGAAGCAGATTTTATTGTATTTCATTGCATATATTTGATCTGGCAATATTATTTACAAATTAAGGTTGTCAGAATGAAACCATTCCTGGATTTTGTAATCTGACAATTTTCGATACATATATACTGTTACAAAAATTGCATTTGATTCTCCAATGCAAGTATTGTGGAGAAAGCAAATAGACTAATAATTTTTTTTTCAAACAAAATTGAATTAGATTTTTGGGGGTAAAAATAAAAAATAAAGTAAATAGATCCTTAAATAAATTTATACCGAAATTGACCATGGAAGTAAGTGCTGGAAGAATTTTAATTGTAGATTGTTTGTTATTGGTCACTGGTTTTGTTAAAAAATAGAAGTACATGTATCAGCTTTCGATAACCAGAATTTTTATCCATTTACATCTTGCAGACAGACAGTATTCCATCTCACGTCACACTTGGCAAAACACTGATACAGTTGTGCTATGTAGGCAAATTTATCGCATATTTTTAGGCAAATTCCATCATCTACATGTTTGTGTGTTTATTATGCATGGGCAAATGTAGGATTAGCTGTGCAAAGTTTAAATATACTGTTTAAAGGAAAATATTTTTCTAAACAATTCACCTATTAAATGTATGACATTCTTATTATGTGATTTATGTAATGGTTTAAGGTAAACATGTTACTTTAGTATGAATTTAAATTTTTTATAGCCATATCCCATTTGCCCATGGCTTTTTTTGTTGTCATGTAGATGCATGCCATGGAAAAAAAAATACAGGCCCTGTCTCTAGGAATGGATTTTTTTCTTCAAGATTGTTTTAATTTCCCTAGCATTGGCTTTATTTGTGCATGAATTGATAAAATATGGGAATGACTTGGACCAAAATCCTCATAAAAGCTTAGTATAATCTCCATGGTGACATTCCTTTTATTAAAGGTCAAGGTGTAAAAAAAAAAAATGTATGCTTTCAATGTTGATATGGTAATTTTCTTTTATATTATTATTGATATGACTATGGAGACCATACTATTATATTATGCTATGTCATAAGGAATATGACATTTTTTCCTGTTTAAAACATTTTTATTTTGCATGCTGATATGTGATTTGTTTAAAGGTGCATGAGATAAATACAAGTTTCATTTGAAAAAGTCTAAAAAATGATGAATAATTCAGTGCCTATCATTTTTGTACAAGTCTCTTGAAAACTTCACTGAAAGAGAAGACATTCTTGATTAAAAAATAAAACATATGTTTTTGAAAGACTGAATCGTGTAGAATTATTTCAGAGGAAAATGGAAGAGGAGGATGGGAGTCGTAGGAGAGGTGAAGGTCGACGAGGGTATTCCCCCAACCGCCGGCGAGACGATAGAGATGGCAGAAGACGTAGATATAGTCCGGGGGGAAATAGAAGAAACGGTATGAAACAAGATATAAAAAAATAATTTAAGATGAAAATAATGTGGCATGACAGATACATAAAAAGGAATGGTATACATTTCAGTTAAGTTTAATTTAAAAGAAACGATTAAAAAGTATAAAAAATACATTGAATTTACTCAGCTTTCTGATTTGGTTATGAAATTAGACTGTAAATCAAGAAAGCTTACTCAGTAATATATTTCTTGACTTGGTAGATCGATTCCGAGATGATAGACCTAGGGATCGCAGGAGATCACGTGATAGGAGAAATGATAGAGATCATAATTCATTGGAAAGAAGAAAAGATGATGACCGTCGCAGATCCCCAACTCAAAATGGAAGTAAAACAGATGGCGATAAAGACAAGTAATACTGCCTTTAAAAAAAATGTGTTTCTATAGGAAAAGTCAAATAAAAAGATATGCAAGGGTTGTCCCAAAATTCTGCAGACAAACATATTTTCGTAGGAATTCTTTGTCATAAATTATTGAAACTTTGTTCACAAATTAAAACAATAATGATTAAAAAAATTATGAACAGTAAATTAATATTTACACAAAAGAACTAATTTAAATGCAATATTTTATTGAGTAGTCTAAGGCAGCTTTCTATCCAAATATTGCAATTGAAAATTGTACACGATGTTTAATATCTTATAAAATGTATTTATTATGTGTGATTTCCAAAAATAAAAATTCTCTATATTGCATTATGAATTTATCAACCCAGAAAAAATTAGAGAAGTACAATAACTTTTGCTAAAAGATGTGAGCTCAGTTTACGGAATTTTGGGACATCCCTTATAAGTATCATAATGCCAGTTTGAATTTATTTAGTGAACGAATGTAATGTTATAAATCTACAGAGCCACTGAAGAAAACCAGAAAGAAGGAGAGAAAGCTGAGAATGCGGCGAAGAAGTCCAAGGAGGCAGAAGTGTTGTCGCTGACCACCAGGACTGGAGGGGCATACATTCCCCCCGCTCGACTGAGGGCCATGCAGGCCAGCATCACTGATAAGTCAAGGTACATATACAGAAGCACTTAGTTCACCATACTCAGGCCATGCAGGCTAGTATTACCTATGAGTCACAGTGAGGCAGATGTATCTAAGATTCAGATATTATAGAGAACTGTGTTGTATCTAAGAGTTGGTAAAATGAAAACATTCCTAGTTTAGTGTAGATGAATAAGCTATACATTCTCACAGTTCAAAACTACCTATAAATATTTAAGTAAATATATGTGAAAAGTAACTATTTCTCTTTCAGTGAACCTTTTCAGAGGATTGCATGGGAAGCTTTGAAGAAAAGTATCAATGGTTTGATCAACAAAGTCAACGTGTCAAACCTCCATTTTGTTGTCCAGGAATTGTTCCAAGAGAACATAGTCAGAGGAAGGTGAGATCAGTATTAGTCATGCTGCATACGTTTACTTTTTTCTGATAAAAAGGTTATATGGACATTATAAGGCTTAATTTCTTGAAGATAACTAAAAAACAGATTTGATTTTTCGGCCTTCTCTGTTTGTGTCTCTATCAAAAATCATTTGAAAATTGAACATGGTAAATGATTAACAAGCATATAAATTACAACATACCCCCCTCCCCACTTTCTCTCCCCCTTGGATTTATAATGAGTATTAAGAATTTTATATGATGAGTAAATTTCGCATTTGAAGTTTGTAATTTAATGAAGAGTTTAGAGTATGCCATGTTTTCTAGGTTTATGATTTCAATCTTACCTTTTCAGAGGTTTGGTGGCCCGTTCAGTAATTCAGGCCCAATCTGCTTCTCCCACATTTACACACGTGTACGCCGCCCTGGTGTCAGTTATCAACACCAAGGTAAGAATACACAAGACTCAAAAGAGAGGTGCAATCTTGTTCAACATGTACACATTTTTAAAACAAATTAATTCAATTAAAGAAATCTTTCACCAGTTAGAAGAGTTTTCCTGTCATGTGGCCTCTCATTTAAGTTTCTTTTGTTTCAGTAGGAGTTATCTGCAGTATTTCTAAATTATAGACATGTTAGATTTATTTTGATCTATTTTACAGTTTCCACAAATAGGGGAGTTGATCCTGCGACGTCTTGTGATTCAGTTCCGTCGTGGATTTAAGAGAAATGATAAGAATCTTTGTCTGTCATCCACCCGATTCATTGCTCATCTGGTCAACCAACAAGTGGTAGGTCTGCTCTGTCACTAGATACAGTAAAACTCATTTAGTACAAACACGAATATTGCAAATTCACGGATACAACAAAGTTATATTGGATCCCCAGCTATATGAATTTAACAAATTCCTTAAACGGAAGTTAGCAAAACTTCATTATAACCGAGTTTTGCTGTAGGAGGGAGGGGGGGGGGGGGGGTACATGTATAGATTTCATGTGAGAATTTACTAATAAAACTTTCCAAGTCTTTTGATTCTTGCACACTTAGTATTAAAAGTAAGGTTAATATACATGTATGTGGTATTACTGGTGTATAACATTAAGGGTGTTGTTTGTTGTTGATTTCAGGCCCATGAGGTGCTGGCATTAGAAATCCTGACCCTTTTACTGGAGACCCCATCGGATGACTCAGTGGAGGTGGCTGTCGGGTTCCTGAAGGAGTGTGGACAAAAACTGACCGAAGTCACCCCTCGCGGAATCACAGGTAATTTATTGAACAACAGAGGAAAGGATCAGAAAAATTACATTTAATGCTGCATCAGCTCTGTGTGTTTTACAACTCCTTTTTTTATTGCCTAGTGATAATGTCTTATACCTGATGCTAAACGTTTAATGCATAAAAAAAGCTGACTGATTTGTACTTGTTTAAGCAATATTTGAGAGGCTGAGGAATGTCTTACATGAGGGTCAGATTGATGTGAGGGTGCAGTACATGATAGAGGTCATGTTTGCCATCCGTAAAGACGGCTTCAAGGACCACCAGTCAGTTATAGAGGAACTAGATCTCATCTCGGAGGAGGACCAGTTTACTCACCTCCTGACGTTAGAAGACGAAGGAACAGCTGAGGAAATCCTAAGTATGGGAACCAGTTATATTCAGTTTTGATCTGCTTGAAATTGTATACTGTAGAAGCATACATTTTCGTGGGGATAAAATTTCGTTGATTTGTCATCAAAACTAGTTTCGTGGGCATTTAATATCGTTTTTTTTTAGGGATGTCAAATCGGTCAATTTTCAATACTCGGTTACTCGGACGTTTTTCCGATCGAGTACCCGGGTACTCGATACAAGTGTAAATAAATATGAACAAGTAAATTGAAGACTGTAAAACATTGTAAACTCTTGAAATAAAACCAGATGCACTGATAGGAGGCTTATCCGTAAATGTATTTCTGTTGTAATAATGATGAGCACTTCGTGCCCGACGAAATTTAATATAACAATTTTTAAATTCAATTTATTTATCAGACAAACACAAGAAATAAAATCATAAGTTGTTCACAGTGTTTTTGTTTGAAAAAATAATCTGCTTCGTAATTGTTATGTAACTCTTTGTCGCGTTTGACGACCAGGTATCAGTTGTCAGAGCTACGTACAGTATCAACTTGAACTTGATCTTCTTGAGCTCTCATAACAGAGCGGATTTACGATTTTAGTACACTTGTTCGATCCGAGATTTATATAGTATTACAGGACGGTATTTTGTAGTTTGATGCAACGATGGACATTAGTTTTTTTAAAGCCTTTGCCTTCAACCAGTTTTATTGGCATGTAATCAAGCACAACCATATCAACAATCGCACGTGTAATATCATCCGCTCTTTTCCCGAGAATTTACAGCTTCTCGGAGAATTAACAAAATTATCTAATTTATTTAAACATAATGGATCTTAAATGATGTTCAGTGAAAACAGTGTTTACACTGCCACAGGCGATAACGGTCATTTAGAGTCGTAGTAAACCCTAATTACTGTATGTACAAGTGCAATGAGCATTTTACGTTTCAAAAAAAAGATTGTTTAATGCATTAATAAATTAGATTAGAAATATTCAAAAATATCCATCCGAGTAACCAAGTACTGATTTTAGTATTCGATACTCGGACGTTCGATCGAGTACCCGGTTAACCGGGTACTCGTTGACATCCCTAGTTTTTTTTAGAGTAACCCTATTCAATATATAGTCATATAAAATTTCGTGTGGGATTTAATTTTGTTGATAATTGTTTATAACGAAATGCACGAAATTTAATCCCCCACAAATATTTCTGCTTTTACAGTAGTTCCTGTTTTTTGAAAAACATCCCTGTAATTTTTTATTCATTTTTATTTGTTTTTGTTTTCAGATGTATTCAAGTTTGATCCTGAGTATGAAGCAAATGAGGAAAAATACAAAGAACTGAAAAAAGGTAATAGAAGAATAGTTTTTTTTAAGTGAAATGTAACTATAAAAATAAAATATATCTGCATATTAATTAAGCTACTGTTGAACTTTTTAACTGCTTGAATACTATTGTTTGATTGTTTTACAGAGATCCTGGATGAGGGCAGCTCTGATGAGGAGTCGGGGAGTGGATCCGGGTCTGAAAGTGACAGTGATGAAGAAGAGGGGGAAGGTGAAGGTACATCTTAATGATCATCTCGGTGGTGGATCTAAGTTTTATAGATGAATACACTTTACAATATTTGTATATATTGTTGTAAAAGAGAACACACTGTAATTCACCAAATGTTTCACTATACCTTATTTTCTTGAGATAGTAATATTTTATTTGTGAACAAGACAAAAAATTCACCATTTCTAGTTATGGTTGTATGTAATCTCAATAAAAGCAGTCACATATATGAAACCATATGAAACCAAAATAAAGTGTTCTTGCAAATAAATAGTGTTTAGAGTATTTGGAATCATATGCAGAGTTTGTTGGGTTGGGAAGGAGGAGGGGGTTGATAGATGTGAAATGAGATAGAGGTTTGAGGTTAAGAAATTTCTGGTAAATAGGAGTTTAAAACAATAAAGTGTGAATTGCACTTAGGTATTTACAGCTGTACATGAATATACATAATTATATGCAATAAAATTGTTGATGAACAGAATTTTGATCAAAGTATTAGTGATAGGAAGATTATTAATAATTTCAGATAATATTGATAGGAATAATTTCTATCTTCATGTTATTATTGAACAGAAGGAGAGAAACAGACAATAATTGACCAGACAGAAACTAATCTGATTGCCCTCAGGAGAACAATCTATTTAACCATCCAGAGTGCCTTAGACTTTGAGGAATGTGCTCACAAACTTCTAAGAATGGAACTCAAACCTGGACAAGAGGTACACACTGCTAAAGATATAAAGCTGAAATGAAAATTCATGAAATCTTCATTATGTCTAGATAGATATCAATATTATTCTCTATTTCAATATGATATGGTTGTTTTCCAGGTTGAGTTATGTAACATGATTCTTGATTGCTGTGCACAGCAACGTACTTATGAGAAGTTTTTTGGATTGCTAGCTCAGGTAATAAATTTTAGATGACTCGTTATACAACACATTTTTAGAAAAGCGTACTGTATACAGGGTTGTTTTCACTCCATTTTCACACCCAGTCATAGTTTTGTTTAAGAAATTATACTATATTCTTTGAATTCGCTCAGTTTTAAATTCTTCCATGTGCAATATTACCGGTATATCGGTATATTGCGGTATTAGCCACGATGATAATATATCGCGATATGAAAATCAGATACCGGTATTTCACGATATTTATAAAAATATATAAAAACCTCCTTTATTGTAGAAACTGTTAAAATAAAACTGGAAACTTCTAAGTCTTTTTCTTTCTCGTTGAAAGAATTCTTCGTCAGTTTCGTTCGGGACAGAGAAAGAGAGAGGAGAGAGAGGGGGTGGAAGCTTTTAATTCACTGTTGTAGTTTTGAATATCTTACTTTGAAATAAAATTACTAATTAATAAGACTTTAAAATAAAATTTATAAGAAAGAAATATATAAAACATTTTTACAGGGTGTATACCATATGCATTGCGGTTCTCATAATCTCACATTGAATCTACACGATCGACATCGCGGTGAAATGTCAAGTTCAGTATACATGTACATATTACAAGTAAATGGTCATCCATGTTTTCACTTGTAGCAGTGTTGTTTTAATTATTTTTAATAACTTTCATGCCATTTCAAACACCTTATGCTATAGCAGGAGCATGTATATATTAAAACAGGCCATTTCCTGATTGTACGTCTTGATGTGAAATTAGGTCGGGTTAGATTAAATTACCAAAACGCACGAAAACAGGTCACAATTTCTTTCTGGTTTTTTAAATTTTATTTTGTAACCACAATAAAATTATTTTCATATAGGCTAATATGTATATTGTTTTAATCTTTAATAACATTTTATGCTACTTCATTAACCCCCCCCCCCCCCCCCAAAAAAAAGAATTCAATGAAAAAAGATTATATAGCCTAATCTGTAAAAAAAATTTATTTCAATGTGAAAATTCTCCAAGAGAGTTCATCTTGTTTTACTATTTTACCTGGAATTTGATTAAAAGTAAAGTGTTAATTTGGTGTGCAATCAATGTCTTATCCCTCCTCCCCCTTTTAAACTTTAAGATAAATTCAAATAGTCTTTGAACTTGACAGCATTTCAAACATTCTGCTCAAATTTATTAATGATAATTAATCTACAATATATTGCAATATATTGCAATATTCAAAGTAAAATATTGCAATATATCGCAATATGGATTTCCTTTGCAATACCCAACTCTACATTACAGTTTCTATTACCAGTATGCTTATACTGAAGAGCGTATTTTCAATCATCCTGCTAGAGAGCTACTAGCTACATGTATACATTTTTTTTATCACAATGATTAAATATACAGCTTGAATTTTAAATTTGCCATTTTACAAAACATCTTGCATTCATATTTGCAGAAATGGCAGATAGTGATGATGAATATGATCGGAGAAAGGGTCGAGAAAAGTTTAGGAGAGAGCGCAATGATTATGAAAGACGAGAGGAAAGAAGAAGCCGTGATCCAAGAGATGTTTGGGACAGAGACAGGTTATAAATCTACATCTTATCTTACTGAAATTGTGGGCAAATTTAAATATAGAGTCTTTGAAATTAATGCTATTTGAAACAAACATGAATAGTTATAATAAAATGCTTTTCTAGGGTAGTGTACAAATAGCATCTTAAAAATTTCAGGTCAAGTGGTAGAGCAAGAGAAGCCTGGAGCAGCAGAAGCAGAGAGAGACATGATCCCTACAGAGAGTATGACGCCAGGCGACGGGAGAGGTACAGCCCTAATGTCAGACGAGACATGAGTCCTCCTCACGCAAAACGAATGAGACGGGATTGGTAGGCTATTAACTCTTCTAAAATATGATTATTTTCAGTAAGCAATTGAATATCTTGATTTTTTATTTACAAAGGAATGATTAAACTGTGAATGTATAAATCAATTTTATTAAAGGGATGACCAAGGTTACCCTCCTTATGACATGGGTGGATATGGAGGAACTCCAATGCAGCCACCCCCCACCTGGGGCCCCTCCCCAGAAATGAGGGGTCCTCCACAGGGTGATTTTAACCCTGGACAAGGAGGAAGGTAATATTTTTGTAAATGCTTGAGATTAAATTAAATATTATTGTATGATATATTCAAAAGTTGAGCATGTGCAAATGAAAATTTTCACTTTGTAAAACTAGTAGATACTTTTTAATTTTATCTATATACTTTTGTCTTTTTTATTGTAGAGACCTAGAATTTCCCACCCAGCCCCCAATGTTGACATTTAAACAGTTTTTATCCCAGCAAGAAGATAACATCAGTGACCAAGATGCCATTAAAAAATATAATGAATATAAAGACGAGTTCAAAAGACAACAAATTAACGAATTCTTTTTGGCACACAAAGAGGAAGAATGGTATTTTTTTAAGTTTCGGAATTTTTATATAACTATCTAAGTCTTGATAAAGAGAGTCAAAGTGGAAAACAATTTTGAAAATTGGATGACTATTTTATTGTTTTCTTTATGATATAATCTGTAATTTTTTTTAGTAATCAGTTCCCCATGAAAATGTGTGTGATTAATGAATGATTTTATTTGCAAGAACAGAAGAGGAATAGCTTTTGCATTGCATGTTTCCTTTTTATCATGGAAACGAAGCAGCTGTCGATCCCTATCTTGGAGATTTTTATTCGCGTTATTTAGATACACTGCGCACAATGCAGTGTTTATATTTATGAAAGTGTTAGGTTAGGGTGATAGGCTATTGTACAAGTAAACGTGCCAGACACACCTACTACTGGGTAGTGAAGGTTATCCAGTGAAACGCGTAGATGACTCAGGTAATTACGTTATCCTTCACAGGTTTGGGAAATCTGTCACTTCTGACGGTATCAGGGATATTTGTCAGCTGATGCTTGTATTGTTTTGCATGACTTGATTTTACAGGGGGAACATTTTTGACAGAAAAACTTTCGTGGATATGCATGGTTCATATTTTTACAATGGATTAAATTAGAAGTATTGAAACCAGTTTAAGAAGAAGAGAGACAAAGTGTTATCAGATAGGGGAAAAAAATCAATAAAAAAAGTCAAATTGTGTATGATATTATTATAAAACCTTGTATTTAACAATTTATTAATTGTTCTTCATCTATCAATGATCTCAAACATACATGTAAAATGATGAATGAAGAGTCTTCCAAGATGGCACATTTAAGGCAGCTTTAGATAGAAATATCTGGGATAAAGGCTATCACTTACTTCCTTTGCTTTTTAAGGTTTAAAACAAAATATCATCCAGAGGAATGTGAGAAGAGGAATAAGGAGGTCAAGAAGGCCTTACAACATCGCTGTAATGTCTTTATGGACCTTTTGGAGTCTGGAAGAGTCGAAGCAACGTGGGTGGACTTTGAGAAGTCAGATGAACTTGTCAAACTTCTGGATGCTGGTACTATGCTGTAGAAAATTGGAAAAAGATGGCAAAAAATATTAAGAGTTCTTTTTTCAAATGTTATAAGCTAAAATGACATAAAATACTTAAAAAATTCTTAAGTTATAATGTACATTTAAGTTATGACAATGTAAACAGTTTATAAACGTGTGTTGTAGCTGTCATTAAGATGGAGGGAGGGACAGATTTTGATTTAACTGTGTTGGACCAAGCTGTGGAGGAGGAAAAAGAGGGGGGTAGGAGTAGGAACAACTCAGAGTCTGTACCCTTGGAAAGGTCAGGGGAATTTAAATTTTTTAGTAATTTATTTCACAATTCCAAAATATTTTTTTATTGTAAAGACAAAGATGATATATATTTGTTAATTTTATGAAAGAGTCCTGCAACGGGGTAAAAAAAACATGCATATCATGCATATGAAATGTCCATTTTATTTCTAAAATCTTTTTACTATTTACTTTTTATTGTGAGCCAAGTACACATACATTTATTTATTAATATCTTAAAAATAATTGTAAATTTTATAAAGCATATCATGTATGAAATACACATCATATTCAAGGTGTCATTGATTTTTATCTTTCTGTGTATAGTCCAGACGAAAAGAAGAAAAGAAAAAGATCTGTTTCAAGTGACAAGAAACCAGATGTAAGATTTCATTACTGTTGAATGTCGAAATGATTTAGATATACACATATAACTGTAAATTGTTGATGTTCTTACATAGAAGGATAATGTATATCTGGCATTGTAGGAGCCATTAAAATTACCTATATCAGCTTTTGATGCAATTTTCATGATGAAGGTACATGAAAAATCTCCAAACAGCAGCAAGCCAAAAACGGAAGTGAATCCAGCTCGGTATGTAAAACTCACTTGATATGTCATCTGCCTCGTTTCTGAATAATAAAAATTTACCTTGCATTCTTTTGTAAATTGCATCAGAGTTTAAAATTGTCCTGCTTCCAATCAAAGTACAGTAAAACTCGGTCATACCTGCAAAGTTACTTCGCTGTATTCGTAATTTGTTATATCCATATAGCAAATTTGCTAAATTATACATAGCACTTTCATTGTATAGAATTTTTTCCTTCAATTATGACTAGGAATTGCATTGAAGATTGTAAAAAATACAAAATTTAGAGTTCAAAAGTTTTTGCTAAATAGACTTTCAGATATATATAATTACAAAAATAATGTAAGATGAATTATATTCTTAAAATTGATATCTTTTAAATTAAGCTATAAAAGATTGCATTTCATTATTTTTAACTTCTTAGGGACACTGAATCAGTATATCACTATTAATTCACTTCATCAGACTTGGTTATTTCGGTAAAATTTTATTGTTAGGAACTACTACGAAATTTGCAATGGATTGCAAAAATTTTTGCTATATCTGTAAATTCTCTATATCCGTGTTTGTACTAATTGAGTTTTACAGTAATAAAACAATTTCATTAATACTTTGTCTTTCTTAAATCATGATTCAGTATATGTTCAATTCAATTATCTTAATAATTAATAAATAATCTAAATAATTAAGTGAGATCAGCTGTCATGTTTATTGGAATTCTTTAATATAAAAGGAAACTGACATTGAAATGTATTACATGTATCTAAAATTTCAGCCTGTACCAGAAGAAAACAATACCAAAGAAGGGAAGAAACCTAAGAAGAAGAAGAGACATCGTAACAAGGCAGGCTATGACTACGAGAGTGGCTCAGATTCTGAGAGTGGCAGTGATTCAGAGTCGGAACCCGCCCCGCCAGGAATGGAGGAGTCAGGGGAGACGGCTGAGACAGACACACTTTTTGGACGGAGACGAATAGATTACGTGTTTCCTCAACAGATACACTGTTGGTTAATTGTGTGACCTCACAGAAGCTTTCAGGAGGAATTTTTTAGAGAGACTCCTAAAGGTGAGTAACAAAGAATGTGTCCTTTTCATACGGAGGCATCCAAAACTAAGGAGGAGGAGACTCCTAAAGGTGAGTAACAGAATTGTCCTCCTTCAACGTTGAGGCATTGCTTTTCTAATATTTGTGAGGAGGAGCTCCTATTCAAAGAAAGTAACAAAATAAACTATTCATGATATTATTTTAAAATCTAAGGAGAGCTGTTTAGCTGTATCAGGTGAGTGACATTGGCCTTTTCTATTTTCTGAATGCTTGAAATAGTGCATATTTTTAAAACTAAGGAGGAGGAGACTCCAAAAAATAAAGGTGATGTAACAGAAGGTGTTCCTCCTCAACGTCAGGCATCCAAAACATGTTTCAAGGAAGAAGACTCCAAAGGTGAGTAACAGAACGTGTCCTCCTCAACGGAGGCATCCAAAACTAAGGAGGAGGAGACTCCTAAAGGTGAGTAACAGAATGTGTCCTCCTCAACGGAGGCATCCAAAACTAAGGAGGAGGAGACTCCAAAAGGTGAGCGGAAAACTGTTATAGAATGATATAATTAATGTACTACAGTAGTCTCCCATAAAAACTGAAAGATTCTAAAAATATAACAGATGTAAAATGCCTGAAGTCTTTGAAGAATTAAAGAATTTGAAAAGATGCTTTAGAGTGATAGAGAATATACTGAGTAATTTGAAGAGATTAACAGGATCAACATAAAAATTCTAACTTGAAATAAAAATATTGAATACATGTACTTACAAGATTGCCAGTTCCCACTTGAAATTCTAAAATGAAGTTATCATCAACTTTCCACCATTAAAATAACAATATGTACAGCAATAAATTCCTAGAAGAGATTAATGGTTTTACTTTTTACAGAAGCCAACATGTCTGATGGAGAGGAGAAAGACCAAGACACAATGGAGGAGAAAGAGAAGGACAAAAAGGACTCGTCCCCCCGCCCCAGGGCACTTCACAAGACCTCCTCCATCTTCTTAAGGAACCTAGCCCCCTCTATTACCAAACAGGAAGTCGAAGCTGTAAGATAACTCATCAGACTTCATTTAGGAAATGGACATCCACTATAGTTTTTAATAACTTTAAAATTAGAGTTTTATACACTGCATCAGATTTCAAATTCAAAAGTGTTCTTTGATAATACAAATTTATGTTGATGCTCTTGATTTGGACATATTAACTCTTATTTACAGATGTGTAAGAGGTACCCTGGCTTTGTTCGAGTGGCCCTCCAGGACCCCCAGGCTGAGCGCCGATTCTTCAGGAGAGGCTGGGTCACATTTGATAGAGATGTTAACATCAAGGAAATCTGCTGGAACCTCAACAATATAAGGGTAACATTGCTATGCTTAGTATTCCATCTTAATTAATACACAAGATTATTTTCATATGTTATGAAAGTGTATTTATTTGAATATCAAATTCTATATGTATTATGAAAAAATAATGGTGGTTGTGAGCATAAGAAGCTAATTTTCAAGGTTTCAAGATTCATTATAAGAGATCAAGCCTCTTACAAAGGTGAACTATCTCTACAACTAGAATTTGTTTTTCTTTACAGTTGAGGGACTGTGAACTGGGAGCAACCTTGAATCGGGAACTAAAACAGAGAGTTCGTCCAGTCAATGGAATCTCAGCCCACAAACAAATTGTCCGCTCTGACATTAAACAAGCAGCTAAAATTATCCAGAATCTGGACTCCAAATGGGGGATGTGGGAGGATCCGGAGGAGGAAAAGAAGGACAAATCTAAAGAGGTCAGAGGTCAACCAATAATAGTTCAAAAAAGAAATAAAGTATACATCTTAATCACCGAATATTTCAAGAGTAGAATGTAAGTTTCTTTTGAAATTATTTAATATTTGAATTATTACATGTATTCCTATATCCACTATCTGTTTTCTTTCAGACCTCCTTCAGTTTCACGTCCAAGAATCCTGTATTAAAGAACATTACAGATTATCTGGTGGAGGAGGGAAGTTTTGAGGAGGAAGAGTTACTCGGTTTGTTGAAGTTTAGATCCAGAAAACTCCAAAGTCATGATTCCTAAAGATTTATCTGAAAATATCAATTAAAACAAAATGTTTTAATCAATAGCATTATAAAATTTTCAACCTCTAACTAATATAATTTCATCTTTTATAGAAAATTTATTAAGGAAAAATTAAATTAATTTTAGACTATCTAGTTGCAGTTGAATTTCAGTTGTTTTTAAGAAATGAAATCTTTTCTATAAGTTATGTTATCATCTAACAGCTTTTGTTAATCAGCAAAATATCAAGGAATGACATTTTTATCATTGTTTATTAAAGGTGAGAAATTGGAAGAGGGAGAAAAAGAATCAAACAATGAAGTTATAGTGGAGAGAGATGAGCGCATGATCAAGGTATTGTATCAGTCATGTAATTGGGATTTCTCTTTTCGAGTCTCTTTAACCTTGTCTTTAATTATGACAACTCCAGATAGATATGATTACAAATTTCTTGATGCAAATGCTCAATACAAACACCTATGGCAGTAAAGAGTCCCAAGGCTTTCAGTGCACGTGATTCTGAGTATGCCAGAATATGTCCACTTACCTACAACATTCTGCTTTACATTTCAGGCTTTAGACAGGATGATACTGTACCTCAGGATAGTGTATTCCATTGATTACTACAGTGCTAACGAGTATCCTAACGAGGACGAGATGCCACACAGATGTGGGATCATGCATTGTAGAGGAATACCACCCACCACAAAAATCACGCAGCAAGATGGTAAGGGGTTCTGTTTACCTTATATCTGTAGGTATTTGAATGAAAGTAAATAGTTTTAAACTGTCGTACCCAGGGAGAGAATTCACATCTTGGGTTATTTCTTTGTAGTGAATGATTGGATCACCAATACAGAGAACAAACTGAAGCAGTTTACCGAAGTCCAGGAGAAATTGTCAGAGGAAGAATGTATCAAATTTGGCAGGAAAGACCCTGAGGCATATCCTTTCTCAAAACATAAATTCGAAACTTTTAAAACTAAAAAATGTTTGGCTTGAACAGATGTGTGTAGGTCTTTAATCACAAAGTCATATAAATGTGTTATTCCAGTGGTTGTACTGCTGTGATTTAGTTTGTCCTTAACAGCTGTTTACAGAGGTGGAGAAGTTTGTGACAGCCAATACACAGGAATTGTCCAAGGATAAATGGCTGTGTCCCATCAGTGGGAAGAAGTTCAAAGGCCCCGAGTTTGTCAGGAAGCATATCTTTAACAAGCATGGTGAAAAAGTAGAGGAAGTCAGGACAGAGGTGAGTTCTCTCTTGTCTGGCCATGCGGACCATCCAGATGGTTATTGTTAAGATTGTTGATTTGACAAAGATTTATTCAATAGCATGTGCATAATAAATATTATTGAAACAGCTTGTTTGGAAAGAAAAATCATGAAATGAAATGTTTATATGGTACATCAGTCAAAAAGAATTTTATATCTTAAAATACAGGTAACCAAATCTTTCAAAAAATCATTGAGATTAGCTTAATGTATTTCTTAAGTTTTCTTATGCTTTAATTCTCAATCCCATCAAGAAAAATTGGACATGGACAGTGTCTTTATTATTCTATAAGCATGTTTAAAATTTGAGAGTTATGGAGGATACAATTATCGGTAAACATGTCATTGTAGGTTGCTTTCTTCAATAATTATTTAATGGATCCCAAAAGACCAGCATTGCAAGAACATCCTAAAAATAAACAGAAATAATTTTTGAACAGCCCTCTAAACATAAAGTTTGA